GAAATATATAATCTATTTCACTAGAAATGAAATTCACAATTGTGGGAAAAGCACATCCTTGCTTATATTGTATCTATGCACTTGAATTGGTTTGTTAGTTAACACCCAGAAGAAGAGAGGAAGATTTTGAACACACCATGTAATATGATGTACCATACTTTAGGCATGCAGCTATGGTGTACGTTCAATAGACTGGAATTACCTACAAAATAGGGGGATGAATGCTGTACATGGAATTCAAATATCTATACTGAGAAAATCTAAAACTACATGTATAGAGATGGACATGGACGTCCGCTGTCTTATGTTCATTTACTTATAAGCAAAATGATACAAGAAGTGTTTGTCAAACACTGATGCCCCTACCCTGAATTTTTTGGATTATTTACTTTTAATATTTCTTTAATACACAAAAAAATTCTACTTTTCCTTAGCATTAGGGATAAAGTTTACAGTACTTTCTGAAAGTGCAAGGATGTGTTAAGCAAATGAGTCATAAAATTGGTAGTTTTTATTTTATGGTAAATGCTATATAGAGTAAAATAATATTATAAGATATGATACATGTATTATGTACAGTATATATATGGACTCCAAATCTATGTCCCCATTTTAAAATTACTGTGAAAAAGAAAAATTAAAACTAGTTTAAATATGAAAATTTTTTTAACCTGTAGGCATCAGCTAAAAAGTATCAATATTCATTTAAAGAGAGCAACAAAGTTGCATATGGAAGTACATTTAATGATTTTACACTGATCATTTCAGCAAAACACTGCAAGATTACAGAAGATACCAGTGCTAGAAATTATTTGATAATTGATTTTTAAAAAGTTTGATCAGCTTTGTCTAATTCGATCAATACATTCAGTAATGTACTTATTTTTAAAAAACCAAAACTTCTCCTCTGCTTTTAAGGGCTTGGAACCTTCTGCTTGAAATCACATTTAAATATGTTAATTCAGGCAGGCAGCATTAAAAGTTTTGTGCCTTTTTTCATTTTTTGGTTTTTTTTTTTCTTTTTTTTTTTCTTTCATTTTTTTTAATTTCATCTTTCTTTTTTTAGTTTTTTTTGTTTTTTGTTTTTTCTTTTTTTGTTTTGTTTTTTTTGTTTTGTTTTGTTTTGTTTTGTCTTGTTTTTTTTTTTTTTTTGTTTTTTTTTTGCACAAAACTTGCCAATGAGATTAAATAATTTCACATTTACAACTTACAATTTTTACATTAACAATTTCACATCAACAATTCACAATTTTTACATTAACAATTTCACATCAACAATTCACAATTTTTACATTAACAATTCACCATTCCACATCAACAATTCACAATTGCATTAAAAAAAAATCACAATTTACCGTAACATTCACAAATCACAATTTAACATTTTTAGAGGCAAATCACTATTTTACATTTTCAAATGCAATTCATAATTTTACATCCATTTCTTTCACTGCATATTTTCTAGTCTCATCATTATATTATGCATTCATTTTCACAATAAACCATTATAACCAAGAGACAATACAAATTATTACTGCTACAATAGCTGTCAGACAGTAATTACATGTTCTAAGAATACTTATGTCATATTTAACAATTATTACATCTAAAACATAATTAACTAATAACCCTTTCAATGCTGAATAACGTTATGTATATAACCTTAAGGATGCTGTACTATGACGTCAACTGAGACGTAAAATTATTGTGTGAGGGAAAAAGCATCAAATTGATCATGAAACAAGCTCCTGTTTAACCAAGATATAGGATGTCAGGAAAATGCGTAGAAAAGAGTAATATTTAGTCCCATAATTTTTAATTTCCATACAGTAAATTTAGCAAATATTAATCCTAGCTGGTATTTGCAATGACAGACTTTATATATAACAAAAGAGACACCAAATCTTTTTTTTTTTCAAATATTATTTCTACTAAATGTTATTGATTTATAACTGCATCACAAGAAAACGAGCCCTTATATATAAGCCTGGTACTTTTTGAATGTAGATATGAATAACTTTTAGAAATATGTAATGATTTATCTCATTTTTTCAGTATTAACAGAGTTGAAACTCATCATAAATGCTTAAAGAGGTCATTTATTATTAGTACATACTGATATAACATGAATTTATTAGAAAGGCTATATTTAAAATAATGTTTGTTTGTCCTTTCCTGTCTCAGCTAAGGTAAAATTACTGGGTTGGTAGGTAAGTGGGATTTTTTTTCTTGAAAACATATTTGTTATATACATTGTATAAAATGATATATTATATAAGACCCCCCAAAAAATTATCATGTCCTGAAATGTTAAAATAAAGTTTTGAGTCATGACATTTTTAGTCCAACGGTTGGAGAAGCTAGGAAACCAAACCATTTTTTAGAGATGGCCTCAGGTTGATTTTATTTTTCCATCTTTCCCATATTACTCTTTTTAATTATAACGATCAGAAATCTTAAGAGTTGGTATGCTGGCATGTTTTTAATAATAATGAGAAATGTTTGATTTTTTTTGGGGGGGGGGTGTTCAGGTTCATTTTCTGTATATCAGTAGGCATCCGAAAACAAACCAAATTTTATTTTAGGCCCATATGCAGATTTCTTGATAGTTTTTTTTTGTCGTATGATTGATATTACGTAATGTTAACTGATTGATGGTTTTGAAGATTTTCATTACATTTGAATGACACCCATATGTCCCCGCGGCCACCTTATACAAGTGAAAATACTTTTTATTAATTTTCTCTCAAAAGATGTCGCCATGTGAATATAAATTAATCTTTTATCAGAATATCAATACCCCCTAGAATGCCATATTGTCTTCTCAGCTTAATCCATTTTAAAATCTATAGTTTCTTCTGTTCCAATTATTATCAAGCATAAAATCACTGCCAGTATAACTTAAATATTCTTCAACAATGAGTATAATGCTTACAAAAACAAAACAAACAAAACAGAAGAAAACAAACAAAACAAATGAACACTAAAACTGCATCTATATATGTATCTAGCTGTAATTTTCTTCACAATTTGAGTTGTAATAATTGAAATTTCAAAGTGACTTGTATCAGAAGATTTTAATATTATTATGAACTACTACTTTTAAATGTATTTAATACACAATTTTAATTCTTTTAAATAAAAATATTTTTTGAAAGACTAAATGCATTTTATAAGACATTATTCAGAATGGAGAAAATAAAGACTGTGTAAAATGTACATTTAACTCTCTCTATGAAAAAAAATAAACATATTTATGTATCGCCGAGGAAAAATAAGTAAACTGTCAGAGGACAATGAATCATTAAAAAAAACTTATGGTATGGTGTGCCATATCTTATTTACAATGCTAGCATACTCCTAAACTGACGTCATAACTTTACGTCAAAATAAAGAAATAAAACGTCGTATTTACACCAGTACCAATTTAAAAAATAAAGACTTATATACTTTTGTCAGAATATAGATTATAATCACTGTATTTAATTTAAACTGAGATAAATGATTAATAAAAGAAAAAGTAAAACATTTATTAGAAAGCGACTTTTTAGTTGCTTTGGCGTGAAAAACGTTAAATTCATCTAAACAATACCAATAACTAACTAGTATCTCATTGGCATAACAATAAAAGGAAAATGAAAGACAAAGCAGCCTCCAACTAGTCCCTTTCAGCTTCTCCTCCCCGAGCCAGCCTGGCAACCGTGGCGGCGAAGGAACTTAAGTTCCAGCCAGTAATGCCCCAGGGTATCGTAAAAACCTACTTACAACTAGCCTTCAACTACTTCATCTTAATAATATGGATATATATATACACATGTATATACATGTATAGCTAATGAAGAAAAAAAGAGAAAAGTGGGGGGTCAGTGTGGGAGGAAGACGGAGTACCCGTAGAGAACCCACGTGTCCGAATGGGCGACCCCATACCCTAACATAATTCGGACACCCTTTACAAAAATATTTTTAGAATAGACTTTGAAAAAACATTGTTACTAGAAATTGCATAATTCACATCAGTGTTTTGAAGATTTGGATTGATCCTGCATTTATTAAGTCCTGCTTCTTCATCCATATATGTTACTTCTAAAAATTCTTTTATTTTCTGTAAATAAACAAGGCAATAGGTAATTGTAAGGTTTGAATAAAAAACAAGAGGCCCATGGGCCACATTACTCACTTGAGCACTGTGGCTAGGAAAAAACAAGAAATTTGTTTATTTTTGAAAAGTTCAAACCCAAAAGTAATCCCAACCATTCCTTAAAGAGGAGAGGGTATGATTTGCCCAAACTTAAATCTACACTACCCGATAATGCTTCCATATAAATATGACCAATCATGGCTTTGTTGTTCTTGAGAAGAAGATTTTTAAAGATATTAAAATTTTTAAAGAATTATCTTATATATTTCTATGCAAAACTTTTGTCAGCCATTATGCCCCGCCCTACCCCCAGGGGTCATGATTTAAACAAACTTGAATCTACACTACCTGAAGATGATTCAACATGAGTTTCGTCTTTCCTGTCCCTAAGGATCTTGAGAAAATGATTTTTAAAGATTTTTCCTTTATATTCCTATGTAAACTTTGATTGGTCATTGTGGCCCAACCCTACCCCATGGTGTCTTGAACAAACTTGAATCTACACTTAACCTGAGGATGATTCCAAATGGGTTTGATTAGTTTCATCTTTCCTGGCCCAGTGGTCCTTGAGAAGATTTTTTTAAAATGACATTAATTTTTCACCAATTCATAATGATTTCCCCTTGAAAGAGGGTGTGGCCCTTCATTTGAACAAACTTGCATCCCCTTTAGGTCTCACACAAGGAAATAATTTCACTATAAATTACTATATAGCTTGAATTAAATTATTTAATTAATTAGACTCTCAGCAGATAATTCATGAAAGAGAAAATATAGATTAATGCTTAAACAAAAAATTGAGATCAGAAAAAGTATGCATTGTGTGGCTTTTAAGAAAGAAAATTGACAGTAAACTTACCTACCCGAAATGCATGTGGGATTCACATGTTGACAAACAGCCTACACACCATCCAGGAAGTTGCATCATGTGCACCTGAAAAAAAGAGTTCCTTTTAATTCAGTGGGATAATTCTGCTAAAGATATGATATTCCTAGTACATGAGCCCAAATTTAATACTGTAGGCCTAAAATAAAATGCCAAAAATGAAAAAAGAAAAAAAATTGTCTCTATATATATGGAATCTTAATTGATTAAGTTCATTTTGATTGGCTATTTCCTTGCGTAAGACCTTTAAGACAATTAAAAGTTAATGAAATAAAATGAAAATTGCAGAAAATGTCTAATATTTATTTACCTTTCATATGCTAGTGCAAAAAAAATTAATTTTTTTCCTTAAGGGATGAAAAATAGGAGATAACTCTTCCTAACAGTTTTAGAATTTTAGGCTAGATTTCTTTACAAATTCATCTATAGTATATTGATTTCAACACTTTAAAAAAATTTTTAAGTGAATTATTGAGAAAAAAAAATGAATGAAATGAAAGCTGAAATATTGGAGTTTTTGGCTATCTGCTAAAAATAATTTTCAACTCTAATGAATGAGCTCTAATTAGCTAAGAAACAGGAAGTTAACTGATTTTTAAGGAATTAATTAGCAAAAAAGTGAAAATCTTAATAAATTCTTAAACAAAGTCAGAGACTGGAAAAAATGGTGTCAAAGGAGACTTCAATAATGTACCTTGGAGCTTTGGTAACAGTGATCACTGATTAATGGCTGGTGATTAAGATAAGGGGTTCTTAAGCAGTGGGGGTGATGAGGCTTTTCCATCAGTCATCAAAGAATGGAGTTTCTCTTAGAAGTCCTGGCAGCTCTAAAATAAATAAACAACACGAAAGTTTACAATTTACAGTTTACAAGTTTACAAAAATGTGCACCACATACAATAGCATATTCTTTAGAAAAAGTCTACAAGTATACAGTTAAATAATTATCATCCAAAAAAGGACCAAAATGGTTGCATCAACATCAATACAAAAAAGAAAGTATTCCTCACAACAAAGGCCAGAAGAAAATAGGGACCACCAGCCCAGACCAACTTCTAGTTCCCATGAGAAGACTAAGTAAAGAGGATTTTCAGGACATTGTACGCCCACAGAAAAATGGAACGTTTGCTGTTATAGATGCTGAGAGCAGAAGCAGTGAGATGAAGTTTCTACGACCTGGGCCAAGTGAGGCCCAGCCAGTAGACACCTACATGGAATCTTTGTCAGATGACCCAACTTCACCAAGAAAAGACTGCTAAATTGTGGAACAATGCATTTAAAGAACACTCACATAAGTTTCCAGACTGTGATGGTCCACTGGACTGGAATCAGCATGGGGAGGAAAAACGACACCTGGCATGGCTCCTTTCCATCCGATGTAAGAAGTGCTACTATACCAGTCACTGAGAAAAGCTTTACGAAGAGGTGAGAAGATCTGGCAGGGGACGAAGAGCTGCACAGCTGAATGTGGCCTTGGCTGTCGGTCACCTGGGTACCAGTCTTACAACAGAGGGTATGCGTGGTATGCTTCTTGGTGCAAATATTGAAAACCAGTGTCAGCCACCAACATGCAACAGACCTGCAACAAAGTGGGGAAAATTATTACCAATGTAAATAAAAACAGTATGAAGAAAATTCGGCAGAATATTCATGAACTTAATGAAAAATGTGGACTTCCGGATGCCCCCATTAGAGCGGAAGGAGATGCTTGATACAATAATGCCAGCTTCAGTGCCATGGGGAAAACCCCATTCCAAGCTGCCACCCAAGTGACGAATAACGTAAGTGAAAATGTAACCCAGAGGAAGAATGTGGTACATGTAGCAGTTTTCTGTGGGAATAAACTATGTAAGAAAGGCGCACACCTAAGAAGCAAAGGAAAGGAAGTTACCTGCCCAGGACATGAAGACTGCACTGCAACCATTCCCCCGGAGACCACCATTGGAGACGAGAAGAGATGGGCTGCTAATTCTGTTGGTGAGTTACAAAGTGATGACCGTCCTCTAGTAATATCCCATTTCACCAGTGATGGAGACAGTGCCGCTGCATCTGGTGCATCTGAAAAACAAGGAAATGTGATTGAAAACCTTAAGGACTTGCGTCACTTCTTTGACTCTAAGGCTCCACTCAGCAGTCACATGTTTCCGGGAAGAACCAAGGCCATAAGAGAATTCATGAAGAGAAGATTTGCCTTGGACCTGAAGCCTCGATGCAGGACAGAGTATGAGAATTGCTACAAACACTACTCCGGTGACTTACCTTTGATGAAGCGTGCTGTGTCTATGTGGTTGGTTCCCTCATAAACTGCTACCAGGGACAGTGTGGGAAGTCCTGTCAAGTTCTCTATTCCTTTTCTTGTCATGGACTGAAAAGCAATATGTGGAAATCTTCAGTGTTGCCTAGTGACTTTGAATTAAACTTGACAGAAAAAGACAAATGTTTGTTAAAAGACTGTATAAATTTGACTTTAGGACAAAGTAATCTTCATAGAATCAAATATCATACTTGTACACAAAAATCTGAATCTGTAAATAGGGCTAATTAAAATCATATCCAAAATGTATTACAAGTAGTAGAAATTTTGAAAGTAGAATACATAAAGTTGTGCACTCACTGAATAGGGTTCATGGAAACTCAACACTGGAACTTTGTGAATCTGTAGGGGCACCTGTTGTAAAAGGAAGTAGAGTGGTCCATCATGTAAAACAACAACAAAATAGACAAAATTACTTTAAAATGAAACAAAAACTGTTAAAATACGAATCTCAAAGAAAATACTACAGATCAAACAAATATCAGCTGTACGATAAAAAAATATAAAGACACTTACTGTAAATCATTGACAGATCCAAAATTAAAAAGGAAGTTGTATAAGACTGTGAAGGGGGGACATTTCAAATGTGTAAAATTTGTATTTAAAATATATTTTGTGAACTATCTTACATGTAATAATTGTTTTCATGGTTCATAATGCATTGATTATTTTCAACTGTGTAAATGGGGAAAATGTGGACATGTGAATAAATGTATTACAGTATGTGTAAAATGTGATATTTTCTTATACGAGAGAGTCTGTACATGTAAAAATGTTATATTCTTTATTATTTAGCTCATTAAAATAATTTGAATTAAAAACCTTGTTTTTCTTACCTGTGTGATGAACACTACAAAGGTTACAGAGGTAATTGGTAGAAATACGGGTATTATGGGTGTCAAAACTGTCTGTTGATGACCAGACTGCATGTCGTATTGTTTATCCACCATTACTGATCTTTTCAAGGGGAGACAACTCCTGAAATCAGAAAAATTTGACTGAAAATGAGAGCTACCTGTCCATCTTAAGGTCTCACTGCGGAAATAATTTCCCTATATATTAGTTTAGAGCTTGAATTAAATTATTTAATTAATTAGACTCTAAGCAGAAAATTCATGAAAGAAAAAAATAGTTAATGCTTAAACAAAAATTTGAGATCAGAAAAAGTATGCCTTATGCGGCTTTTAAGAAAGAAAATTGACAGTAAACTTACCTACCCCAAAATGCACATGGGATTCACATGTTGACAAACAGCCTACACACCATCCAGGAAGTTGCATCATGCGCACCTGAAAAATTCTTTTAATTCAGTGGGATAATCTATTAAAAGATATATTCCTGGTAAAGAAGAACCTGAAACAATAGAACATTTGTTGTGGGAATGTGAACATGTTCAGTCCCTCTTAGAGAATTTTGCAAACTACTGTTTCAATAAAATACACTCTACTCTAACTTTTTCAAAAAACGAGTTTTTATTGGGCTCCACGAAGAAAACTGATAAACTTAAAAATATCATCACCTTACAAATAAAACATTATATCTATCTGTACAAATGTACAAACAGAAACATCTCCTTAGGTGGTTTGATATCATATATTAAGACAATGTATGAATTACAAAATTATACATCTCATAAAAATAAAGAAAAAGAATGTTTTGATGAAAGCTGGAGGCCATTAATTGATTTATTTTCTTAACCATCTCTCTCTCTCTCTCTCTCTTTCTCTGTCCTTCTCTCTCTATCTCTTTCATTCTCTCTCTCTGTTTTTCTCTCACTCTCTCTCAATGTTTTGTCCTTTTGTAAAAAAGTTTTTCAAAATGCAATAAATTATAAAAAAAAAAATTTGAATGTATCAGTACATGAGTCCAAATTTAATACTGTAGGCCTAAAACAAAATGCCAAAAATGAAAATATAAAAAAAATTTGTCTCTCTATATATGAAACTTTAATTGACTAAATTCATTTTGATTGGATATTTCCTTGTGCAAGACCTTTACCCAAGGATACTTTGTAGCAAGTTTGGTTGAATTTGGCCTAGTGGTTCTTGAGAAGAAAATGAAAATGTGAAAAGTTTACGACAACAATGATGACAGACAACAGACAAATTTTGAACAGAAAAGCTCAACTGATCCTTCGTCTCAGGTGAGCTAATAAGACCAGGTAAAATTTAAGCCAGCTAGTTAACTTGAATTTGTAAATAAAATGATCTTGGATAATGTCACATACCTAATAAATGTCAGATCAGCATCCAGTTGTTTTTATCAGGTCCATTTGGGTGCATCTACTGTTTTCACCAAGTCCTGTTGGGTGCATCTACTGTTTTCACCAAGTCCTGTTGTCCTGTCTTCTTGGGTGTATTTGATGTTCCACTATGTTTGCTGTTCCACCATGTCTTTTTGGGTGCATATGCTGTTTCCACATCTTGGAAGATCAGCATCCATGGGCCCTGCCTCCTCCAGTTCCTTCTGCCAAGTCCTGTTGGGTCCATCTGCCATAATTCCACCATTACCATATTTACAATCACATAAGCTTTTTTTTGTCTCTGACCAGTAGAGCTAAAAATAAGCCAGGCTTAAAATAAAAAGTCAGCTAGTAAATTTGACATGGTCAATTAGATGATCTTGAATCACTATTGTCATTTACATCTACCTGATCAGTGTTAGTTATCTCCTTTGATATGTCTTGTTGGGAAGGTCAACATCATCTGGCAACTCTCCTCCAGTTGTATCCACCATGCCGGGTCCATCTGCAGTTTTCACATCTTGGAAGATCTGCATCCATTGGCCCTGCATCCTCCAGTTGTCTCCACCTGTTGGGTACATCTGCTGTTTCCACCAAGTCCTTGGTGGGTGCAAAATTCTGCTGTTTCTACCAAGTCCAGGTGCATGGTACATCAAGTCCTGTTGAGAGCATCTGCAATTTTCAGATTCTGGAGAGTCAATATCTATAAGCCCTGCCTTTTCAGGGTGGTTCTTACGTTAGACAAAAGGAACAACTTTTATCTTTGAAAAGTGTTTATAAATTTTTGCATAGTAATTATGTACTGTACATTTGGAATATCGAAGAAGTGCACAATACCAATAAAGAGTTTTTAATTGTAATGTTCATCTTCCCCAGGTGATATTCACAAGTTAACTGACAACACCATGTTTATAAACCCATGTTTACAAGAAGTATTTCTCTACATGGAAAACTTACATTTTTCTATAATTGTGAAAAAATGTCAAGAGTTAATTTACACAATTACAGGAGTTGGGCATATGAGATTGTAAGCTAATAATTGATTAAATGAAATATTTAAAGATAATAAGAACAGTTTAAAAAGGTCAGAGGCCTATATTCAAAACAATTCAAGTCAGGAGGAGAGCAAACACACACCTCTAAAACATCAGCTGGGATCGGGTGTCATGGAATATCTATAATTATCAAATTCATGGAATGACTACATGTATTAAGTAGGGGTGCTGCTGCTGTAATGTTTTTAATATTAGGAATTACAGTCAAACATATAATGAGGTCCCAGAGATGGACAATTTGGCTTCGTTTCAAGTGTTCTTCATTACATCTGTTATTTGTACAATATACCAGGTATTATAAAGTCCAGTGAAATAAAATCGCGAAGCATCGATTCACTGTAACCTGTAATTGTGCTGCAGTCTTCACGAAAACTCACTGGTCCGAAGACCGAGGCCAGTGAATTTTGAGGTCGGGTCAGTGAAAATCAAAATTCAAGAAGTCCGATGGGCTTGTTGTCCCCCGCTTTCGCGAAAGCGAGGGGACATTAAATCTCATTCGTATATCCGTCGGTCCGTATTTGCTATGTCCGTCGTCCGTGAGTCTGTCCGTCACAAAACTTTAACCTTGCCCATAACTTTTGATTTAGTGGAGCTATGATTTTAATATTTCATATGTGTATTCCTTGTGATAAGACCTTTCTTTGGGTACCACCAAATTTGACCTTTTGACCTTTTGACCTTGACCTTGGAGTTTCAACTACTTTTACTAAAAAATTCCAAACTTTTACTTTGGCCATAACTTTTGAATGGTAGGTACTAGGACTTTCATATTTCACATATTTATTCTTTTTGACAAGACCTTTAAACGAATACCAACAACTTTGACCTTTTGACCTTGACCTTGGAAATTTAAGTACTTATGAAAAAACTATATCCTTGACCATAATTTTTGAACGGTAAGGGCAACGGCTTTCATACTTCACATATGTTATCCTTGTAAAAAGACCTTTCATTGGATACCAAGAACTTTAACCTTTTTTGACCTTGACCTTGGAGTTTTAACTACTTTTTAAAAATTATAACCTTGGTCACAACTTTTGAATGGTAGATACAAGGACTTTTATATTTCACACGTTTTCTTTGAGGCAACACTTTTCATTGGATACCAACAACTTTGACCTTTGGACATTGACCTTGGAAATTTACGTCTCTGAAAAAACTTTAACCTTGACCATAACTTTTAAACGGTAAGGGCTAGGGCTGTCGTACTTCACGTGTGTAATCCTTGTGAGAAGACCTTTCATTGCATGCCAAGAACTTTGACCTTTTGACCTTGACCTTGGAGTTTTAACTACTTTTTAAAAACGTTAACCTTGGTCACAACTTTTGAACGGTAGAAACTAGGACTTTCATATTTTAAATATATGTATTCTTTATGGCAAGACCTTTCATGGGATACCAAAAACTTTGACCTATTGACCTTAACCCTTAAAATGATATCTTGCCCACAAAGATATCGAAAGCGGGGGACCACAATTCTTTGAATTTGCTTGTTTATCATAAAAATCATACAGTCAAAATTTATTTCAACTGACTTACTTGCGTAAATTTCATTAATATATAAAATAAAAAGAAGAAGCTCGTGTTGTTGAATCCTATTATTATAACCCAATTATAACATGGATGTATTACGTAACAACCGGAAGTAGCTAGTAATTATTAACTAGTACGTAAAATGTGCAAAGTTCCAACGAACAACTTACAGAGATGCGACAAAGGGTGAAAAATGGCGGCATTTCAAAAGTTGAAGTACGTAAACATGTATAAATTTACAGTTATGAAAATGTATTTATTTTATTTTTTTATGAAAGGGACCAGTAAAAATTTTGGTGGGCTAGTATATTTTGAAAGTTCACTGGTCCGACTGGCAAGTTAGTTTGAAAAGTTTTCGTGAAGACTGCATGGTGCTGGCTATATATAGTGAGTTTTACTGATTAAGGGAGTTAAATGGGGTACTCATGAGTAAAATTAACATAATATTCATAGGAAAACATACAATTTTTCATCAAATTGTATAATTACATCCATTGAATTAAGTGTAGATGCCAAATTTTGGGATATTCTGTCATCTAAATAATTTTAAGTACCATCAAATTATATAGGTACATTTATTTTAGGATTACCCGGGGGTACACGGGCAAGAGTTTTGCACTTCAAAGCAAGTTTACAAATACCACAATAGATTCTTTGCTCAAATTCTGACTTCAGAAGTGTATTTCTATAGTGTACATTATAAATAAGAAATACAGGAGGTATCTAAAATGTTAAATTTAAAAAGTCTCCCTCTCCATGGAGTGTCACAAAAAAGAATATGAAATAAACTAAGGATTTATATAAAAAAAAAATATCAGAAAAATATTAATTCAAATTTGATTTTTAATTTCCTGCATTTAACACATCAATTAAAAGCATATTTTATACATATTTTATAACCCCTCTTAAAGAACTGATGTTAATCATGCCATTCACAAACAAAAAATTTCAAGATGTCCACTTACCTATCATTTTAATAAAAATATTTGAAAAATGAGTTTTTTTTAAACATGGAATTAGATTTTTTCAAAACTTTAAAAATATTAAGTTTTATTTCACTGCATGCATTTTACACTTAATACCCTAGTCAGTTCCTTTCAATTAAAATTCCAATATCCGT